TTATTAATAACAAGACTGTCTGCTCCACTATCAATTTCCCTATACGGCTCGGTGGCAATCATCAACGAGATTTCTCAGCATGATGAAGTAGAAGAACTCTCTGGCTGGCCTCCTCCGTTCTGATTGCAATAGACTGAAAGAAGTAAACTCCTAGTTCTCTGGTTTGAACATGGACTCTGCTGTCCGCATCACCGCAAATCCCTCCTCGCCATCACGCACGTCCAGAGTCCGCTTCTCCATTTTTACTACATGAGCCATAGAGGGACCTTTATCGATGCGCTGGAGGAATTTCTTCACTTTTTCGTCGCTACCCTGGGCCTCGCCTTCGACCTGATAAGATCCAGTAAGCGCTATATCTTGGGACACGACAGGGCATCACTCACCCTTCCACAAGTAGTGTTCCTAACCCATCCCTTAAGCTCATCGAGCTTAGCACATTTCTGGGTGAAGTCTCTGTAGTGCACGATAGGTACAGGTTAATCGATGGACTATGATGTCATCGGTTGAGGGGATGTTTCCTACCTGAAGCCGACACCTAGGATTCATGTCAGTGACAGAGTAAATGATAGTATTTGAAGACTATAGATGGGATATGAGGTCTACCCACCTTGGACGGTGCCGTGGACTTTGAAAGCAATCTGAAGTAGATAGCATATTAGCAGGGAAAACTTGTGGCTCTCGCTGCGGGCTGGCGATTTGTATAGCATAAGACTGAATGGGATATATATCAAGAGACATACCCGTATGTTCGACATTTTGGTCGAAAAATGGGCTTAGTTGAAGAGTTGGAGGATGTCCACTGGAGGTGTAGAGTTGAGGTGTAGATGTTGATGCCAAGCCCTGGAGAACACCCCAACATAAAGATTGCTATACAGACCTTTTCAGAGAGCCGAGGGTTATAAATGCAACCTCGATTTGGAAATATATTATTATCCTATGTTCTCAATTTGATCTTTCAGGTCCAGGCATAAGTAGGACTTAATTTCCTATTAATCACACACAGTGCCGAGGCCTGGAGGTGCTTGGCGCCCGGAAAGTTATATTGCTTAACTTCAAAGGCCTCTGTTTATATCCTTTCAAGATTTACATATCGGAAACTAGATCTGTATTCTTAACTAGGACATACTTGGGTCTTAGTAATGCTCGATATGATACTGACTAGTGCTGATTTCGGCAACTGGGATCTACAACCTCTAAAAGGTAGTTCCTCAATTCAAATTACATATTTTGATATGAAACGGAAATCAATAGCGCCATTTTATTTTATATTTTATATTTTAGATTGGAACCTTATTGGATCCGTGTCGAGTTAGTATAGAGGCCACCTACCGAGAATCAAGTGGCGGTTCCTCGGGCCCCTGAGTAAACACTGGAATCTCAAACATCTCCGACTTCAACTTCTCCAAACCTGCGCCGGCCATGCCACTGTTATAAAATGCCCTCCATTTTCGCCTGGCTTCGGCGGGTCTACTCGCTAGACACCCTTGACACCCGTTTCACCTCCGCAACCACTGCCCAAGACACACGAGGTTCCTCCGCCAAAGATGCCCGCGCCAATGCAATCGCCCAGGGCGCGTCACCTTCACTTTGGCGCACACCAGAATTCTTTGTCTACTACTTGTTCTTTATTATCCTTGTCCCATTGATGTTCAAGACTGTCATCGATGTCTCGAAGGGTGAGTGCAGGCCGGAGAAAATGCTGGGCCTTGAAATGCTGATTGAGGATCAATGTCACAGAAAGCCACCCAAGCTACTCCACATACTCTCACCTTTTATCATCCGGTTGGATCCCTGGCCGTCAGGTGGTAAGTACGCCACACGTGGCGTTCAGCTATCCACATCCACGAGCCCAGTCCCGACTGACATTATTTCTCTAATGCCCTTAGGACAACTCCGATTCGCAATATGAAGGCTTCCGCGACAATATCCCTCTACTTCTACTACTCCTAATCGCCCATCCTTTGGCTCGCCGTGTTTATCAGTCGCTCACGACCCGCTCGAATGTGGAAACGAAACAATTGAGCCACTCCGTGAATGGTGCGGCCGAGGCGCAACTTGAACAGCGAATGCGCTTCGACTTTTGGTTCGGACTGATCTTCATAACAGCGCTTCATGGGGTATCCGCTCTCAAAGTGTTGTCGATTCTATATATCAACTTTCGAATCGGCAAGGTTGTTCCTCGTTCCTATGTGCCTACCGCCACATGGGTCTTCAACATCTCCGTCTTGTTTGCCAACGAATTAAGCGGTGGGTACTCTTTCGAGCGGATAGCGAAGGTGTTGGCTCCCGGGTCTGTGGCGTTAGAAGATGGTGCTACAGGGCTAGTCCAATGGGCTCAGACTCTAGATGATCTTGGGGGACTGATGCCGCGATGGGAGATCCTTTTCAAAGTCACAGTGTTGCGCCTCATTAGCTTCAACATGGATTGCCACTGGAGTGCAGACTACCCCGCGGCAAGCCCAATTGAAGTAAGTATTCCCCTGGTCGATGAGACACTACCATATGACAGACAATTAAACTTACCGAGTTCTACAAGAAGAAGCAACTAGATCCTGCGGCCCTCTCTGACCGTGACCGGGTCAAGATCCCGGCAGAAGCAACCGCTTTCACATTCCGCAACTACATCGCCTATGTGCTCTACGCACCTTTGTATGTGGCCGGTCCGATCTTGACTTTCAACGACTACGTATCTCAACAACGATATACATCGGCCTCACTCACTCGAGCTCGCATCATGATGTATGCCGTGCGCTTTGGTCTGACTCTGCTCTGCATGGAGCTTATTCTCCACTATATTTATGCGGTAGCAATCTCCAAAGCTGACCCAGACTGGTCTGTCTTCACCCCGGGGCAACTGAGCATGCTCGCGTTCTTCAACCTGCACATAATCTGGCTGAAACTCCTCATCCCCTGGCGATTCTTCCGTCTCTGGGCCCTCGTAGACGGGATTGATCCACCGGAAAATATGGTCCGCTGCATGTCCAACAACTACTCTGCCCTCGCCTTTTGGCGCGGATGGCACCGCTCCTACAACCGCTGGATCGTCCGCTACATCTACATCCCGCTCGGCGGTGGTGGTGGACGTCGGACACCCGGAGCACCCAAACCAGCTGCATCTCCTCGGTCCAACTTCATGGGCAAGTTCCTCCAAATCCGCAACTTCCTACTGGTCTTCACCTTCGTCGCCTTATGGCACGATATCAACCTCCGCTTGCTCATGTGGGGCTGGCTCGTTACTCTCTTCGTTCTACCAGAAGTTTTGGGCGGCATGTTTTTCCCGGCCCATCGCTGGCGCTCTCGTCCCACTACGTATCGTGTCCTTTGTGGCATTGGCTCCGTTGGGAACGTCCTCATGATGATGATCGCAAACTTGGTCGGCTTTGCGTTGGGTATCGATGGATTAAAGGATCTGCTTGCTAGCCTAACGGGTTCATACTCTGGCCTGGCGTACATGGTTTCCTGCTGCGTAGTACTTTTCGTCGGCGTGCAGGTTATGTTTGAGGTTCGCGAAGACGAGCTTCGCGCGGGCATTAACCTTAAATGTTGAGCCTTTTACACAACACTTTTTCTTTTAGCATATTTTAGAAACCCGATTTTGCCTATTGCGTAGAGCCCATGTATAATGAGATAAAAAATATATACAAGTCTTGTTTTGGATGTCACATTAATATTTATCTGTTGTACAGGTTTTGGTATCGATTCATAAAGTCATCAGCAGAACAGGGCTAGGCAAGCTCCTTCTCAATATACACACCAGACCTCCTAAAAGAAAGCACCACACCTCGAATCCTCATGAACCTTATAGCAATCCAAGCCACAAGTCCTCAAATGACAACTCTTGCACCGAATCTTCCCCCAATACCCACACATACAACAAAATTTCCGCCCCGGCCGACCTGACGCTTGCGGCTTCGCACGCGACGCGTTATAAGAGAGCGGCGCCTCCACCAGTAACCGCTGCATAAGCCGATCAGAAGGCACAGGGGGCGCATACGAGCGCAGCAGGGGGTCATTATCATATTCAGACTTGATGAGTTTCGGCTTGCGCGGCGGCTCATCATCGACATCAGTTTCAGCGTCCGTAGTCTCATGCGTGGGCGTCGATGCACCGGTCGTCACACCCAACATAGCCGCCGAGGGACGTTTGACGCCTGCTGTGCTAGCCGGTGTTGAGCTGCGCACGGCAGCCTTGCCTCCCTTAGCCGCGATGATATTCGCGCCTCCTGCGCCCTGCATGCCCGCTACGCCCCCGCTGCCCGAGGATATTGCTGCTTCTTCGTCGTCTAGGTGGTTCCGGAAGGTCTTTTGGGATTGTAGGATGCGGCGGACGTTCGAGGTGGTTTTTGCTCGTGTGCCGCGCGCGCCGGCTTCTCGGGCTTGTTTCACTGGTGCTGGGATGGCGACGTCGCGCTGGTTCTCGCGGTCTAGTTCGGCGATGTGGCGTGCGATAGCGTTCGCTTGTCGGGACGAAATGTCGCCGCCCTTGCCGGCGTCGCGGATGCCGCGTTTGCGGCCGAGGGTTGGGGCCATCGCTTGTGTGGGGTCGAAGCCCCGGGTTGGGGCGTATGACCAGCCTGGTGTGGCCGTTGATGTGTCTGATACCAGTTCGACGCGGAACATTTTGCGGTTTGGGGTGTTGGGATGGTCTGGTGATGCGGAGGTGGATGATGGCTCCGGGGAGTTTGTTGGAGATGATAAAATGTTTGTCTTGTTTGCAGCGGAGTTTGGTAGTTCGAGAGAGTGCAATGTACAGGGTTAAAGATTTAGTTGGTCAATTATTGAATTATTGGAAAAGGAAATGCTGATATTCGAAAAGCCGGGACTTATCTCATGCAAAAAAAAAAAAAAAAAATCAAGAAACAGAAAGCTATTATTCCCTGGCCATTAAAGAGTGATAGTGGGCTTCATGTCCAGGGTTAACAAGCTTCATGCACAGAAAACAAACACACCCAACACCTCCAAGCAATAATAAATACACATATCAAACATAGATCTGGCACCTATTTCTTCTTGTGCAGCTGATCAACTCTGGATTCCAGTTCTGTAATGTATGACTGGAGCTTGATGGTAGCCTTTTGAAGTGCCTATAAAGCAGATAATTAGGTCTGCGAATATCAAAATTCCAAGAGAAATACGGAGACACTCTCGGAGTCTCAGAGACTCAACAGTTGGGAAGCTATAAACATACCGAAATGTCATCAGACAGCATCTCATTGGCCACTCGGTACTCTGCTAGGATGTAATAGTACACCGACGCGCCAGCGGCGACAGATCCAGTCAGGAACCCAAAGACACTGTCAGATATTAGCAATAGAGCTTACAAATGCGTGGCCATTTGACATGGAATGTCATTAGAAGCAGGAGAATTTATCATACCCTCCTCGGAAAGCTCCGACAGGCTTGCTTGATGGTAGTGGCGCGGCGGCCTCCCAACGGGCGCGGGACGATGAGAAGGACCGAATACCGATGCGTCCGCGCAAAGGGAGAAAGATCTTTGTGCCAACGGGCATATTGACAATTTTATTTCAAGTGTAGAGGGAAAATTTATGGATTGTTTGATGGAAGATGGTGGCAAGGGGAGTTTGTTGGAAGTGACGTTGATAAATTGCGGAGGTCCGGGCGGCTCGGAACTTGGAGACCTGAGGCCTTTTTGTATACAAACCAGGGAGACTACAACATAGAAAAGATTATATTTGGAATCGCTCTGCAATATGTAGAGCCGAACTAAATGATTTATTGCTTCGCTTAATTGGCCATTGTGCTCTCGTTGAAGAGATCCGCCAACAAATCATTTCGGCACACTGTCACATCTACGCTGCCCATGCCGTACGTACTCTCAAACACGTAGATACTCAACCGAGCGAAGAATGGGCGTAGGACCCGGTCGACAATCTCGTCCTTGGCTGCCTCTCGGATCCAGTCTGAGATGAGCCATGGCCGCTTAAGGCCACTGTTAGCCTGCGGCTCGTTGGTCTCCGTGGGGACAGTGGGTGAGCCTGCACTGCGTGGACCGAAAGTCTGAGAAACTTCGTCTGCTAAAGCAATGGGCTCCCAGCGGTCCGGGGGATAGACTGCATCGATCGTGTCGGTTACGAAAAGCCATTCAAGGAGCTGGAAGTCATCTGGGGCGAGGACAAGTAGTACGTCGAGAAGCTTGCACGCTTGAAGCAGCGAGTAGGGGTTGTAGAGCTCTGGCTGAGAGCCCCGGGGTACTGCTGAGATGGCTTCTTGCAGTTCCGTGTTGATCAGAGGCCAGAATGGCGCCATGGACGAGGCGGAGGTCTTGAGCGCGACTGCTCGAAGGACCATGAACACTTCCGCCCGAGTGGCAGAAGATGGCGACGAGGCGCTGGTCGCCGCAAGAAGATCTTCCAGTTTCTGAAGTAAGGCGGGCAGTTCACCAACGAAGTAATCGTCGCTGGCGGAAAGCACGAGCAGCGCGATTCGCCGGAGGTTGAGCTGGGCTTTTCGATCAGCTTCCAACCGAGCCGCAGAGGCTCCTACACCGAACATGATACCCGCTGAGCTTGGTGGTGGAAGGCGGACAAGAAGTTCGGTTAGGCGTTCCTTGTCGGCAAGAACCCACTGCCGCAGCAGGTCCATCCAGCTGGTCTTCACCAAATCCAACTGCAATCCAAAGAAGCGGGCATCATTGAACGCGTCGGATATGTCTTTCTTCCACATTTTCGCCGCAGCTGGTACTTTTGCCATTTGCTGTAGAAGAACCATGACATTACGGTTGAGATTATTAGGGAAGAGACGTGACCGAATGAGAGGGCCCACTACATTAGTCGATACACCAGTAATAGCAGTGTTGATCCGATCTGAATCACCCAGGGTCGTGATAAACGACGGCATAGAGACCGCTAGAATGCTCAGCATGTCATCAGGTCCAGTATGAGAGACCGAGGTACGATCATGATCCACCGAAGATCTGGCCATAGACCCGATATCATGGTTAAGGCCTAGGGGCTTGCTGGTAAAGACTGCGGTAAGGAGTCGTAGGAGAACATCCTGCGATATTATTGTTAGTGACAATGGTAGTACCAGCAGTGAATACACATACCCCAAGTTCCTTTCGCATACGACGGTCTTCGCCAAAGGTTGTGTTCTCCATTTTCACCCCCAAAATAGCCGCGAATTCAATCAAGCGTGGAAGAATCTGCCGGTGCGGGAATGGATTGCTAAGAACATCACGCAAGAAAGTTGTGCAGTCTGTCCAAATCTCATCGAGGACATCATCGTCCAGTGACCGGGCATAAGTAACCAAAAAGCTAGCAAGCTCAGACTCAGAGAGATTGGACGTCAACGAAGACTTCCGGCTAGGCTCCAAGGCACTGGGATTAGTGCGAGTGTAGATTGCGTTGAAAATGGCAGGAATGGTGATTTTTGGGCTTGACCCATCGAGTGTATGGAGGAGATTGAATATAAGTGATGCTGTCTCTGTGTCAGACTTGGTCCACATTTCCACCAAGGTCTCAAGACACTCAAGTGCCTCTGCGGTGAAAAAGTGCTCCAAGATTCGCCGTGAGCGATTTCTCATTCGCAAGGAGGTGTATTGAAATGAGGCCAGAGATTCGCAATCAGGAGGAGATCCACTGTGATCTCCCGCGCCCCATGCCCAGATGGAGAAGCATAAGCGAACGGCATCTTGGAAGCAGAGAAGAACAGTTAGGCGGTCGTTGGCGGTATTTGGGCGATTTTGTCCGCCCTCCGAGTTGAATACCCCGGACACCATGTTTCCGAAAAAGCCTTGCGCTTGGTCAGGGCTCTTGACTGCTGGAACGTTGGACTCTTCCACAATGAGACGTTCGTGGGCATTTGCGATACAAGTCTCAAGGCCACTCAGAAGAGCAATTGTGACATGCTCGGAGCGGTCCTGCGGCCAATCCTCTGTTTGCTGGAAGGACAGCTGAAGTCTGCCATATGATGCTCGAATTTCCCTGCAGAAACATTCCACAAGCATCAATAGGATCTGGAAGATAGAACCTGAGTATAGAGGGAGCACCTCACAGAGCAACACTATCCACTTGTCTACAATTTCTCGGGATTTTGGTGAGCTGATTCCCTTCAAAAGACAATCCAAAAGCCGCTCTGGCGGCTGCGGTAGCTGCGGTAGCGACTGTCTCCTGTCTCCCTTGTCACTGGTGAAAGACAAGATCGAAGGACTGGTCAGCCGATCTCGAGAGGCAGCTCGTAAATCCTTCGGCCGAGGAGGAGGTGGTGGTAGATATGCTTGCGCAAATCGCACCTTCAATGCAGCAAGGAGTGCGTCAATTAGTGCACCCTGCACCGCAATACTGCCTCCATCGGAAGATACAAGAAGGCGTTCCACCAAGAAATCATCAATGCCAGACTCCACTAATTCCTCCGCTCCGGGCCCAAGAAGAAGTTGCCGCATGAGCTGGAGTGCGTCTTTATGCAGTCGTTCACCATCTAGATTAATATCCGTAGGAGCCGGGGGCTGTGCGCTGACGATTCGAAGGGATGCCTCAAATATGGCGGAATGAAGGCTTTTGAAGTCTGCATTCTCTATCCAAGAATCCATATTAGCAACAATTATTTCGTCAGAAGATAAACTACCCACCTTCAGATTTGGACTTTTCAAGGCGCTTCTCATTGCCTAGCACCTGAGTAAGAAGTGCGACCCATCCATTTTGCGAAAGCGCGGAGATTATATTTGAGGCTGTCTGTAACAGATAGTCACACTCCTTATAGTCATCTGGGGAGATTGAATGGCTGTCGGTCTTTTTCCCGTTGGCTTCATCATGTTCAGAAAGCTCATCAAGATTTGAGATGACCACATGGAAAACCCTAGTAAAATATTAGATACGAATAACATGCTGGGATGAGGAATCGACTTACTTATGGATAGATGGCAAGTCTTGAAGCCATAGTTGAACGCTCTGCGAACTATCACTTGACTCTTGAGAGAGAAGATCAAGGACAATGAAAAGCGGACGTTCAAGCATAGAGCACTGATAAGAGAACAGAGTCCCTCCAACATCAATCACTTGCTTTGGTGGTTGCTCATGTGTGTTGTGGTGACTGTGGTTCCACAAGACGTAGAATCGCTCAGCTTGTTGCTCAGACGAGAGGTGGCGGGATGCCGCGTTTGACACATTGACCATTAAAGCTGTCAGAGACGCCTCGACGAGATGGTCAATCCAAGAAATTGAGTGCAGGAGCCATAAGCAGCGGACAGCTTCCACGTGAAATTTTGGACTAAGAGGTGATAAGTACCACCACAACTGGTTGACAAGAGGTGTAATCAGATCGCAAGCATCCTCATAGCTGACGTAGAAGCCGGGAGTTTGAATGAAAAACAAACTCGTCACTGTCGAAGCAATTGTCGATATGACTGAGAAGGAGGCGGTTGTTGGCTTGTCCTTCCCTGAACCTAGTCGCCGAGAGAGCGCTTCATACAGTTTTCGGTCTCGTAGAACGCGGGACTTTGGAAGCTTCTTGAGCAAAGTCACAAGAACATCGAGTGGTTCGTGAAGGGATAGGTTGCCATCGCGGCTTCCCAGCGCCGCTATAGCTAGTTCATGAGCCTCTCGAATAATCATTTCGCCAAGATTCTTAGGAGCGTAAGGAAGAGGTGGAAGCTCCAAGCTATTTTTGCTTTGTTCATAGAAACTGTGGACAGTCTTCAAGATATCAGTGCCACGGCCCTTTGTGTCGTTGGCAGCAGTCTTTTCAGATCCTGCCTTTCTCGAGAACGCACGCTCTGTGAGTAAACCACTCAGCGACTTGAGAACATTGTTCAATGCAGCGGCCACGGCCTGTTTGTTGGCAGTGCTCTCCTTGGATGAAATCTCTCTCATCTTCACGAGAACTGACAATGTCAGCAGAGGCACATGGATCTGTACCATGTCCTCCTCGCGCACATTGAAATTCTCAATGATAAACTGTGCAAGATCCAGGTCACGCAACACTTGATCGCTATCATTGTCTACATCAGAAGACCGGTAATCAACCAACCCCAGAAGCTCAGAGAATATCACGCCACTTTCAACGCCATCAAAAAAGGCGCTTGCACTGCGGAAAACCTCCTCGAAGTGGTTCTTGGGGGCTGCGGATTCAAATGCCTGAACGCTGCGTACAGTGGGCAGGAAAACTGCAGGGACAATGTATCCACCGATTTCCCAGCGATCCATTAGCGCCAGAGCTATCCGAAATGGTTTGGTTCTATCGGACGGAATGCTCGGTGCCTGTTTGATCATCTCCAGTAGACCAGTGACTAATGGCTGCAAGCCAACCCGGCTGAAGTACTGTGATTGTGTGAGTTCCTTTCCATCAACGGAGGCAGATCCGGCAGTATCCGTTGAGAATTTTCGATCATCCATCGAAGAGCTATCGTTTGGGGAATCTGGTCCTAAGAACCAAGCCCAGAGTCGGCGGTTCAAGCTCATGTCTCGCCGAGTGACCACCCCCACTGCTGCAATTACCAGAGTTCGAAGATCACCAGCCGCAATTTTGCTTTGTAAAATTGGAGAGCTGAGTGGAA